TACAACACATTTACCAATACATGCTCATTTTTGGTTTTTCACTATAGAATGTAAAATTGTTTAGGGGGAAAAACATTTTTTACCCTGTATTTCACTTTTTTCTCATTTTTAAAATTATACTTCAGTATTAGAAAGTACAAACCAAAGAAACACATGACCATATTTTTAACAATTATGCAGAATTCAAAACTCCTTTTGGGGCCGAGCCCGTGGCGCACTCGTGAGAGTGCGGTGCTGGGAGCGCAGCAGCACTCCCGCCGCGGGTTTGGATCCTATATAGGGATGGCCTGTGCGCTCACTGGCTGAGCCCGGTGCGGCCGGTCTCAAAAAGGACAAACAAAAAACAAAAAACAAACAAACAAGAAAACCTCCTTTTGAAGAAATGAAAAAAAAATAATGATTTTATCCAAAGTAAAAGGAAACTGAAGCACAACAAAGTTAAATAACTTTATCAAGAAATAATAATAGAGGGCCAGCCTGGTGGCGCACTGGAGAGTGCGCCGCTTGAGAGTGCGGTGGCGCTCCCGCCGAGGGTTTGGATCCCATGTGGAGACCGGTTCCCGCTCACTGGCTGAGCGTGGGGCGGGCACAACACCGAGGGTTGCGATCCCATTGCCGGTCCCCGGTACGGGCGCGACACCGAGGGTTGCGATCCCGTTACCGGTCAGTAAAAAAGAGACAAAAAGAAAAAAAAAAAGAAATAATAATAGAAATAGTGTATGTTTCCTAATTTCTAGCCCAAAAGCCTTCACACTAAATTATATCAGCAATTATTTTTTTAAAAACTTAAGTAAATAGCAGTAACCTTTAGTCCCTATGCTGTGGACTTCATTTTCTTAACTGCAAAATAAATGAAATCACATGAAAAACCCTCGAGGCTCCTTTAATCTCTAATGAAATTTGATTCTATGTTTCACTGACCACTGGAGCTACAGTCATCTTTTTCTCTTGGGAAGTCCTCCCTGTACCCCACTATTTATCTTTCCAAACTGGTCATAATCATGTTGCCACATTGTGCCTTATGTCTTTCTAAACATGTCCTCTATCTCCATTTAGGTTGCATTCTCTTGGGGGTGCAGCCCATTTCTTATATGTCTTTGTGTTTGTAAACTTTTCAGTGCAAAAAAACATTTTTAATATTATTTTCTATCTGTAACAGCACCTAGCATAGTAGTTTGTATAGAGCAGGCACAAAATAAATGGATGGTGATGATGACTGCCTGTCAGATTGCAGTTTACAAAAATAGGACTGGCTATTTCGGTTACAGTAATATGGGCATAGGATTTGTGGATTCTGCCTCAAAAGCAAATATGTTTGTTTTCTTTTGTTCCAGAAAGATAGCATGAAACGAGTATTTTCTGGCATTCAGCCTACAGGAATCCCCCACCTGGGCAATTACCTGGGCGCCATTGAGAGCTGGGTGAGGTTACAGGATGAGTATGGCTCTGTTCTGTACAGCATCGTTGACCTCCACTCCATCACTGTCCCCCAAGACCCAGCCCTCCTTCGGCAGAGCACTCTGGACATGACTGCTGCTCTTCTCGCCTGTGGCATAAACCCAGAGAAAAGCATCCTTTTCCAGCAATCTCAGGTCAGCTTCCCAGATTAGAACTGAGAAAACTTTTGTTATCAGATTATTTGAGGAAAAATTTGAATGGTTCATATCACTCTTATTTGTGATTTTTTTTAAACTCGACCTCATAAAATGTGGTTGTTTAATGTTTTACCAGTATTCATATCATGAACTATCATTATAATGCAATAGTATTTTTCAACTTTTCTTCTACTAGACTTGGTAAGTTTATAGTCCTTCATATACCGAAAAGTTGTGTCCCATAAGTACTTCTAACCCTGGAATTGTTTTTCTGGTTTGGATTCAAACTGATGACTTAGTGCCACAGACTAATCTCTCTGTAATCAAGGATGGAATTTAGTGACTGATGGTTTTACGTAATTCCAATGTTACTTTATCGGGTATTGCATCTGGAAGGCCTTTTGGATAATTCCTATTGTTCATTCTTTGTATAATAGCTTTTGAGATTTGATAGAGCAAGCTGAGAAATTGGAAGACAAGTCCCAGTGTCCTGTGTTCAAGCCAGAAGGCTTCAGAGCAAAGCCAAAATCGTTGACTCATATCTTCACTATGGATGAATCAATTTATTCTTGGACAGGCAAGATGGCCTGGCCCAGGGATAGGGCAATTAAGAGACGCCCTAGCAAAGATGAAAATCTAGCTGGCTCATGCTCTTATTACGTATCTGCTTTAACCTTGTGACAAAGTCCCAGCCAAGAAATGGTATGTTATACATGTCATGGTACACGTTAACATGTATACATATCTATGACGCTCCTTGATCATAAGATTCTATCATTATTTTTATATATGTTTTATTACCCACAGAACTTAACATAATGATTCACACAGAGCAACGAGTTAAAAAATATATAATAAATGGAACTTATTCAAAAATAAATGCAGTTAACTTAAGCTTATTGCTGGCCTGGAGATAATTTGATAAAGTAATAAGATCTAATCATTAAAAAGACCATAAAAGCAATTTATGTCAACTTCCTTCCTTATAGTTGGTCAGGAAGACTTTACTTACACATGACTTTTCAAATTCAATGTTGGACATATCTAATTATTATTAAAACACTTGCTTATATTGAGCAAACATCTGCCTCCCTATAATTTCCATTCATTTAACCTCTGCTCTCTAAAAATACACAGTAAACCAACTCAATCTTCCATGCAACGGCTCTTCAAATACTTGGAGACATTTATTACGTATCATCCTTACCTTGTAGGTCTTACCTTCTTCAGATTAGTTGTCCCCAGATTTCTCACCCTGTTGGTCATCCTGCCTTAGAAGCACTCTCGTCTTTTCTCTGAAAGGAACGTGTGTCTCATATTTTGTGAAACAATATTTATTCAAATTCTTCACATCCATTGCCAACATTGAGAGCTGGTCATCGTTAGAGCTACTTTTTGAGTCACCTAATGCATTTTGCAAAGCACATCATTTTCACTCAATCTAAACTGTTTTTGATACAATCTCTCTTTTGATCCTTATTTGATACTGTTTCTAAAAATTGTATTCCTAGCCACAAGCACTTATTTTCATACTTCTTGTAGGTGAATATGTTTTGTCTCCACAAAGTAACCACTTGCTAGGTTGCTTTTTTAAGTGATCTTTGAAATTAAAGTCTTATTTATAACCACATCCTATAGTTGGGCTTTGAGCTTATTCCCCCAGGAATATTACTACAGTATAAATTTTTTCTCCTTTGTAAAGGATTTTTAGCATTGACCTCCATAAGGACGTAAAATTTGCAATAATTGAGATTCTTCTTGTACATAATACTTTGTTGTTCAGAATAGCAATTGAAAGAGGAACCCACAATATGGGAGACTTTGTAAGGTCACCCTCATACATGAGGGATAATAAAATTCACCTTCCATTTGAATGGAACCCGATGACTCGTTGTTTCCAAGGTGGTGTGGGTCTAGGTCGGAGAGTGGAGGTGACCAGTGTTGGCTGGTGTGTGCCTGTCTCCTCGGTAGCCTTGATGCAGTTCTAAAGCTGTCTCACAATTCTCTTCTTGTCGTCCCTGACTCCAGCTCCCTTCTGGAGAGTTGTGATAGTTTGCCAGTGAAATTTGAGGCAAGTTCTCATCTTGCCTGCATTTCATAATTTTTCCCACAAAGGCAACATGAAGGACTTCCTCAGGTATTTTTCTAACCTCAAGACAAATGGTCTTGACCGTTTCCTCCTCCTTTGACTCAGGAAACCAACTTTTTTACAACTCAGTGGATGGACTGGATACTTTACCAGACTCTCCCTCTTTTATAAAAAAAAAAATTTAATAAAGAAAAAATTTAAATATTTTTTCAATAGAGAGAATAGTGTACTGTACCCCCATCACTTACAAGGTTTTGTGATTTGTCTTGATGTTATTTTCTCTGTTGAATTTGTCTTGGTGTTATTTTCTCTATTGAAGTATTTCAAAGCAGACACCACAGACATCATGGCATTTCACTCCCTAAATATTTTAGTGTACTTCCCTGTAAAATCCTGTTGAATTTGTCTTGGTGTTATTTTCTCTATTGAAGTATTTCAAAGCAGACACCACAGACCTCATGGCATTTCACTCCCTAAATATTTTAGTGTACTTCCCTGTAAAATAAGGGAAATTTTCTTACATAACTACAATACTGTCATCACTTGTAACAAAGTTAATGATGATTCTGTATTATCATCTAATACCCAAATTACCCTGATTCTTCCAAGCTCCACACATTACATTTGATATGAATCTTAAGTTTCTTTTTTGTATGTGCATTTTGATTTGTTCATCAAATTTTATTTCCTGTAACATTAGTCCTCTGCACTCAAAATTTTTTTTAAACTTTGATTTTTGTGCTTCTACTTTTTTCATGCCTTTGATCTATTGATCAGGTTTTCTTTTATGCTATAAATTCTTTTGAACTTAATATTAAACCTTAGTTTTTTTGTTGCTTTCTCTTTGCACTAATCTCCATTAGCTGATGTTTAGTGATTATAAATTACTGCCCCACATAATTGCTCATCATGATTTTCATTAGATTGAAGAGAAACTGTGCTTTCCTTCTGCTGGTGGAGTGCCTGGCAAGGAACATTAGGCATTAGTTTCTTTAGAATGTCTGTAAAGCCTCAGGTTGTCATGGACAGTGATGAGGAGATCTTCCTTATACTTTATCTTAAAATCATGAAGGCATGTATTGGCTTTTTCTTCTCAGAACCATTTTCAAGTAGAAGCGTAATTAAATAAGCTAGTCTCCCTGAAACAGTTATTATTTTAAATGCAGGGCCCCATATTTGCAGTATTGTAGGAGGTGAAAGAATCATCATGGTGACAATTTATATTTTGTGATACAAAAATCAATAATTAACTTTTTTTCTTTTGTGTTTACTTTCTTTTTTATTTATTTTTAATTGACAAATAAAATTTGTATATATTTATATATATTTATATTGTACAACATGGTGTTTTGGATATGTATACATTGTGGAATGGCTAAGTCAAGCTAATTAATATATGCATTACTTCACATACTTATTTTTTTGTGTGGTAAGAACATTTAAAATCTAGTCTTAGTTATATTCAAGTAAACAATACATTGTTATTAATTATAGTCACCATGTTGAGCAATAAATCTCTTGAACTGATTGTTCCCATCTAACTGAAATTTTGTATCCTATGACCATCTTCCTATTTCCCTCACCACCCTGCCCTTGATAACCACTTTTCTACTCTCCGCTTCTATGAGTCTGACGTTTTTAGATTCCACATATAAGTGAGATCATGCAGTATTTGTCATTCTGTTTCTGGCTTATTTCACTTAACATAATGTCCTCCAGGTTCATCCATGTTGTCACAAATGATAGGATTTTTTTCTTTTTTAATGGTGAATTACTACTCACATATGTACTATATCTGTTGTGTATATATACCACATTTTCTTTATCCATTCATCCACTGAAGGACACTTAGGTTGATTCCATAACTTGGCTAATTGTGAATCATGCTGCAATAACAAGGGAGTGCGGCTATCTTATTGACATACTGATTTCATTTATTTTGGGTATAGATTCAGTCCACTAGCTCACATAGTAATTCTATTTTTAATATTTTGAGGAGCCTCCATACTGTTTTGTGTGTGTGACCGGTAAGGGGATCGGAACCCTTGGCTTGGTGTCGCCCGCACCGCGCTCAGCCAGTGAGCGCACCTGCCATCCCTATATAGGATCCAAACCTGTGGCCTTGGCGCTCCCAGCACTGCTGCGCTCCCAGCGCCGCACTCTCCCGAGTGAGCCAGGGGTTCAGCCCTCCATACTGTTTTCCAAAACGGCAGTACTAACTTACATTCCCAACAGTGCGCAAGGATTCACTTTTCTCCACATCCTCACCGTCACTTGTTATCATGCATCTTTTTGATAATAGCCATTCTGACAGGTGTGAGGTATCAGTCGGTGAAGTCTCCAATGGATGGGGGCTGAAAAGAAAATAATTATAGCATTTTTAGACCCATANAGTGAGCGCACCTGCCATCCCTATATAGGATCCAAACCTGTGGCCTTGGCGCTCCCAGCACCGCTGCGCTCCCAGCGCCGCACTCTCCCGAGTGAGCCAGGGGTTCAGCCCTCCATACTGTTTTCCAAAACGGCTGTACTAACTTACATTCCCAACAGTGCGCAAGGATTCACTTTTCTCCACATCCTCACTGTCACTTGTTATCATGCATCTTTTTGATAATAGCTGTTCTGACAGGTGTGAGGTATCAGTTGGTGAAGTCTCCAATGGATGGGGGCTGAAAAGAAAATAATTATAGCATTTTTAGACCCATAAGAAAAGTTGGGAGTCAATTTATTAGAAAATTAATATTAAATGCATAAAGTTTACCAAGCCATTTCATGTATGTGACTTCTCTCTTAAACATCAAAACAGCCACAGGAGTTAGATATTACTCTTATTTTTCTTCCACTAATGAATAAATCAAGGTATGAAGAGATGTCATAAAGTAGAAAACATGCTTAAAGCCATCGTTGA